TCTGGTTCTTTCCTCTGTGACAGTAAACTGAACGTCTCTGGACTAAACAAGACATTTGAGGAAACTCTGATCCATGTTTTTCACCGCTCGCTGACATGTCAGAGACAAACAGCTGCTTGATTCATCCAGAAAACAGACTCCTGACAGTGGAAGTGATCATTAGCTGCAGCTGCTAAACAGAAGGTTAAAGAAAGGTTTATAAAGTCAGAGGGACGAATACACCTCTGGACCTTTGAAGAAATGGGATTCTGTTGAAGCTCCTGAAGATCTGTCAGGATGCAGGTCCTCCTGCCCTCTGGGAGGCGCTACAGGAAGCTCTGCTCTTCCCTCAGCTGGTACTGTCATGAACCTTCCACCCCAACACCCCCCTCCATGTCCAGCTGCATGCGGTCTGGTTTGCACCGGATCCACACGTGTACGTCCACATAGCCGTGCGCTCGTCGCTCTGTTCATGCTGCTGCTGGTTTGATGCCAAACTGCATTTCATTGTCTCTGTATTTGTACTTTGTGCAAACACAAACCTACATCGCATCTAATTACCTCCGATTGTTCAAACACGCACAGAAACACATCAGCATCAATTCATGTTTTAATAGATTTTCTCTTTTGTCAAAAGCTGGAACTCACATGAACTTAGCTCCCCGTCACTCATTCATTCAGACTCAGAAGGTCAGAGAGGCACGATGATGATGATGATGATGATGATGATGAACACAAACCCCATCTAAAAATAATAAAAATTAAAGTCCTTGTTTACACTCAGCGTCTCCATGGCAACAGAAACAAACATTAACTATCACCAGCGTCCGTTTCCTCCCGCAGGCCGGAGGTCAGCAGCGAATCAGAGAGCAGCTAGCGGCGGTAGACCCCGAAGGCCACCAGGCTGAGGAAGATGGTGACTCCGACCAGCGAGGCAGTGGCCGGGGCGGTGAAGAACTGCCGGTACTGGATCTGACAGTACCACAGAACCGACAGCATGAGCACCAGCAGCGGCACCATCAGGCTGCCCACGTTCAGCGCCACCTGCACCTGGTCGGCGGGCCGCGGACCCCCCGCCGCCCCCCGCCCGGCGTGCTGCGAGATGTGACAGTGCAGGACGCAGTTATGGACGAGGTTCAGCGACGCCAGAGTCTGAGCGTCGTCCTGCAGCAGCTGACCCTGATAGATGAGCCGGACCTGGTGCTCCTGGCCCGCAAAGTAGGTCCTGGAACACATTAATACCCAGGATCAGTATCTGGAGATCAATATCTGGATCAGTATCTGGGATCAGTATCTGGATCAATGTGTCAGTCAAGGTGCTGTGGATCTGTAGAGTATCAAATACATGCTAGCGTGTGTAGCAGNGCTAGGTCTCCACGGTAACTGATGCTGTGGAGCTGGTGGTTAATGGGCATTAGCCTTGTGAGCTGGAGGGACTGTAAAGCTCTGAAACTCCCCATTAGTTAGTTAGAATTGAAGGAGAACCTTGGATGAAGGTGGAACATCTTCAAGAACCTAAAGGAGAAGTCTGGTTGATGTCTACTGAAGCTCCGAGGACCACCATGACCCGGATGACAGAGAACCTACAAACAATAACATTAAATTCACTTTGATCAGCTCCTCCTGACGCCTGACGTCTGGCTGCTGGAGGTTCTGTTGAGTGGAAATCCGGATGTGTTGAACCTGCTTCGTGGTTCGTGTCTGTGGTCTCTAACAGCAGCAGTGGGGAAGCTCGGCCTGTTCTTACCTGCGGCCACGTGGCCAGACCCAGATGAGCGGCCCGCTGCTCGGTCCGGTCCGCTGACACCGCGCAGGTTCTGGATGTAGCCGCTGTTAGCGTGTTAGCTCCAGCGGGCCGCTGCTGCTCCTTCCCCGGTCATCGGAGCACCTGGAGCCGCCGGTGGACAAACTCACCAGGAGACTCATGAGAGACCTGCTGCTCTCTGCCGGTTCCTCCTGAAGCTGCTGCCGCCGCCATCATGTCTTCATGCAGCCGGCAGCCAATCAGCTCCTGCTTCTTCTTCTTCTTCTGCTGCTGCTGCTGATTGGCTGGACAGCAACAGCGCCACCTCCAGGCCACGTCCACCTGTCTGTCAGCTGTGAGACACTGCGGCACGTCCAGCCTCTTTACACTCAGACTGAACCTCGGGAATGGAAAAACAAAAAGACATTTAAATAGGAAATAAACACAGGAGGTGGAAGAAGGAACAGCATGTTCACATGCAGTACTGTAGTACGAAGCCAGGTCAGCATATCCAGACTTTCTCTGTGTAAACCAGCTCGACAAACACTAAAGCTCCAGCAGAGATCACAGGTATCATGAAGGACGTTCAGCTTTCTTCATCAGTCAGACTTCCTGCTTCAGACTCTGCTCACATTAAAGGAGGCGTTAACGC